TATTTTCAAATGAGCAGGAGAGGAGGAGATCCATGCTGGACATTTATGTTGGTGAGTAGAAACATTTTATTAGTATTTTTTAATGTTTTGTCATTTCATTTTGTTAATAATAAATGGTAACGAAATAAAATGTCTAAATGAAATTATTCTGTGTTCTGTTTCTATGCAATTTATATTGTGAATGACGTGGTGTGTGCAGCTGCGCCAACATGTTCAATTGTTTCGCGGTGCAATTTTCTCCAAAACAAATGCAAATAATGTGTTTGCTTTACTCATTTATTTTACTGTCTCATCTCTTAAACCCGTCTTTCATTTCTGAGATTTGACAGTATCCGTGGTCTTAGCTTCCTACTCGATGGGAATGCGAGTTTGATTTTAAAGACTCCGGAAATGACGTCTTGCCCAGCCACTGGTGTGTGTGTGTGTGTGTGTGTGTGTGTGTGTGTGTGTGTGTGTGTGTGTGTGTGTGTGTGTGTGTGTGTGTGTGTGTGTGTGTGTGTGTGTGCGTGTGTGCGTGCGTGTGTGTGTGTGTGTGTGTGTATGTGTGTGTGTGTGTGTGTGTGTGTGTGTGTGTGTGTGTGTGTGTGTGTGTGTGTGTGTGTGTGTGTGTGTGTGTGTGTGTGTGAGAGAGAGAGAGAGAGAGGTTTCTCCAGCTGTGATGTCCTATTGATGGTATTTTAAGGTGTGTTCATTTAGATTGGACTGAATAGGAAATCACTGAAGGCCCAGGGGTGGAATGCACCGCCCGCCACTGAATCTTAGCAATATTCCGAAGGTGGAAAAAGGAAATCCGACAAACTTGTGAAACCTGGGATTTGAATGACATGTCCTGGTCAAAGATAACACCAAGGTTCCTTGCTTAGTTCTCGGAGATTAATGTAATGCCATTAAGGTCAGGCGATTGGCTAAGCAATTTCCTTTTCTGGATTTCTGGTCCAAAGATGAGAACTTCCGTCTTGTCTTGATTTAAAAGCAAGAAGTTAAGAGTCATCCAATTTTTTATGTCCTCAAGACAAGCCTGTAATCTACCCAACCGATTAGGTTCATCAGGGTTAATGGATAAATATAACTGAGTATCGTCAGCATAACAGTGGAAGTTTATCCCATGCTGTCTAATGATTTTACCAATTGGGAGCATATATATAGTAAAAAGAATTGGCCCAAGCACTGAACCCTGTGGTACTCCGCAAGTAACCCTGGAGTATGAAGAAGATTTGTCATGTACATTTAGAAAATGAAATCTGTCAGACAGGTAGGATTTAAACCAGCCTAACGCTGCTCCTTTGATCCCTACAACATGTTCAAGTCTTTCTAAAAGAACATTGTGATCAACTGTGTCAAAGGCAGCACTGAGATCTAACAAGACTAGAACAGACACAAGATTCTTATCTGAGGCCATAAGAATATCATTTGTAACTCTCACTAATGCAGTTTCAGTGCTGTGATACTCTCTAAAACCAGACTGAAATTCCTCAAACAGATCATTAGTGTTTAAATGCTGACACACTTGGATGGCCACTATTTTCTCCAGGACTTTGGATAAAAATGGAAGGTTAGATATTGGTCTGTAATTCATTGGGTCATCTGGATCCAGAGAAGGCTTCTTAAGTGAAGGTTTGATTACAGCAACCTTAAAATCTTGTGGTACATATCCATTTGCTAAGGATAGATTGATTATATCTAGAATGGGGCAGTAACCAAAGGAAATGCATCTTTAAATAATTTGGTTGGGATTGGATCCAAAATGCAAGTTGAAGGTTTAGATGAAGCTAATATTTTTGATAACTCTGAAAGCTCAACTGGATCAAAACGGTTCAAGCACAGATGAGGTTCTAGAGTCACCTCTGATGCTGCCTCACTTACTGAGGAAGAAGAAATCGCATTAGGGAGGATGCTAAAGATTTTGTTTCTAATAGAATTAATTTTACTTGTATAAAATCCCATGAAGTCATTGCTGCTGAGGGCTGAGGGAATAGATGGCTCAGAGCTACGATTCTGTGTAAGTTTAGCAACTGTACTGAAAAGAAATTTAGGATTATGCTTATTCTCCTCAATTAACGCTGAAAAATAAGCAGTTCTAGTTTGTTGAAGCTTATTTTTATGAAGCACAAGACTATTTTTCCAGGATAGGTAGGCCTCCTCATGGTGCGTAGAGCGCCATGTTCTCTCCAATTTCCTAGAGTTTTGTTTTAAGGCTCGTAGAGAGTTAAACCAGGGAGCCAAATTCCTGTCCCTAATTACCTTCTTTTTTAAAGGGGCAACATCATCTAATGCCACACGTAAAGAGGAATTCACATGATGAACTAAGGCATCAATTTGTGAGGGGCTAGAACTGAAAATATTGCCCTCTGCTACATGCCTCTGAGATGCTGAGGACAGTAAAGATGGAACAGTTGATTTAAAAGACGCAACAGCGTTGTCAGATAGAGACCGACTATAATGAAATTTACTTTCATGTCTCGAGAACTCAGATAATGTGGTTGAACATCTTTTTTCTCATCTTTGCTATAAAACACTGATTTTAAAATCTCACGTCACAGATTTGTGGCTCTGATTGGTTGCTGTGTTCCAGGCTTCTCCAGCAGGTGGCACCATCACACCTAACCTCTGCCAATTGCTTTATTTTTTTATTTTTTATTTATTGAAAAATCTACATTTAACACAATAAAGATACAACTTCTTGTTTTATGGCTGGTGTTTAACTAAAGCAGCAGAACAACATGATCAGTGACAGAAAATGTCAAACATGATTAAAGCTGCAGAACAGCTCCGTCAGCTGTGTTTGACACAAGCTGCTGTTCAAACATCATCATGTTGTTTAGAAACACATGAAGAATCTGGCCTGAAACTTTATGCTTAGATCTGTTTGATGAGATGTTAAAATCAGAAGAAAAAAACATCTGGATTTTATGAGAACAAATGGATGAATAAACAGTTAAGTGTTAGTGCTGACTTAGTAAATGAAATAAACTAAATGTGCATCTTTATTTAGTGAAGTTCTAATTAAATTACAGTTATAAAGACAGGAGGATTGTTTATCACTTGCTTTATATAAATAAAATCTGCTAAACTGTTTAATTATAAACTCATTCATCAGAAATAATAGTAAAATGAGACTTTTTGATGAATCAAACTACAAACATGACTAAATTAATTCAGCTGCAGTGGAAGGTTTAAGAATACATCAGACTCGTTATTAATATGGAATAATAAGTGTTAATGACATCATTGTTCATCATATAATAACATCACATGTTTTCTAAATTTGCTTTAATATTAAACATCATCAGTCTTTTCATGTAAAGCAGCAGTGGGGCTGTTTCAATCCCTTTACTGTTCTGTTATTGTCTCCAACAGGAGAAAAAGTGCCTTCAGGTTTTAAAACTCCATCTTTGTAGTTTATTTATCAAATGATGGATCATCATTAAACTCCAACAGCTTCAGTTTTATTAATCAACAGAAAGTTTCAAAGCTCTAACAGAAAAAGTTAAATATCCAGTTTTAGTTGTGAAAAATACAACAAAAACTTCTAGTAATGAAAACTGAAACTTTCTGGCTGATCGTCGCTTTTCTGTTTAGGTTAAATTAAACGTTTTGTGTTAAAACTGATTATGTTTCATCTCACAAATAACTAAATAACATTATTTAATATAAATGTGACTGCGCTGTTTTCAGGAACAAGTAAAGGCGAACTAAAGACAGTTGGGTGTTGCAGGAGGAAATCTAAATGGATCACAGATGTCAGACGTTTGTAGCTGTTTCATGTTATTTCCTGTTTATGGGAGAAGTTTGAAAACATGTCAAATCATATTAAACAGAAAAGTAAGTTTTATTAACTTTATTTGCTTTTTGGATAAAGAAAATTAACCTGTAGCATCTACAAACATTATCCCTTCAAATTTAAATCAAAGAGAAAAATTAGTAAAACAGTAATAGTGGGTTTGTTTTGTAGTTTTCATTTTTTTAACATTTAATCTAGTTAAATTTGATTGTTTTGTCCAGTTTGGTACAGCTGGCGGTAATAAGTTCTCCACAAGAACCTGTGATTAAACATCTTTAGACGCACAAAATACAATCTGATTTTAAATTAATCGTCCTGCAACATAAAAGCACACATGTAGACTTTTCTGCTCCAGATGACCTTAAGCATGGCCAAAAACCCATGTTTGTGTGTGTGTGTGTGTGTGTGTGTGTGTGTGTGTGTGTGTGTGTGCGTGTGCGTGTGCGTGTGCGTGTGCGTGTGCGTGTGTGTGTGTGTGTGTGTGTGTGTGTGTGTGTGTGTGTGTGTGGTATCGTTACACACATGCAGGTGCACTCAGAGAGCCGGAGGTTGCGGTGAGGTAGAAGGTGGCACCTCACTGGTTTCTCAGCTCAGAGGCGAGCTGCAGGCTGCTCGGTGACCACATCCTGTTCTCTGCTGTTGCTCCTCTGCAGGTTTCATGAGCCGCTTTGTCTTCCTCACCAACAACAGCTCTGACCTTCATCTTCACACTCATGAGAGCGCTGACTTCCTGTTGTTGTGTGTTTGACTCACAGAAACTCACAAGTTTTCTGCTACAGAAGTACGGAAACTTTAGTAAAACAGTTTGATGCTAATTAGAAAAATAGACACAAATAAAGTTTTCACACTTTTATTATTTATTTTATACAAGAAACAAAAGATTAAAGAAAAGTCATCAGAAAAGTTGTTTTATTGAAGAATCTTGTAATGAGTCACTTCAGCCAGCGTAGGAAATCTTCCTGAGCTGAGATGTTTCACCTTATTATGAGAAAAGAAGCAGATAAAAACATCTGACACCACCTCTGGAACAAGTGATGAACAGAAAGAAGCTCACCTCACCAGATCAAAAACATTTTATATGTAAAAAATCTTTAAATGAAGAGTTAGAAACAGTCAGAAATGGAAAAAGATCTGTTTGTTTTCTAATAATAAAAGCCTCACAGGTTCTGAAGGGTCAAATCAGCTGATTTCAACATAAATTCCCAGAAACACAAACTGAATGTTCTGTTTTCTACAGATTTTATTTACAGAAACCAGAAAATGTTCCTCGTGAAACTCGTTGGTTTGTTCAGACTTCAGCTCAGATCTCACTTGTTCCGTTTTCCAGCTGAACTCTGCAGCACAAAGAGAAAAACACTTTATTGATGTCATAAACTCATTTTAGCAGCTTGGAAATTCAACTCATACGGAGGTTGTTGACAAACCTGAAGCTTCCAGACCAAAAAGCAAACAAAGGCTCCGTAGATGCAGCTCTTCACAATCAGAACCACATAGGAGAGTTTGGCGTTCTGAGTGATCCTCAGATATTTCTCTGTAGGAAGATCAGAGAAGGAATATTCTGGTTAAGGAGACGGAGGATCAGCAGGATTCTAACTAGATGTTTGTGTCTGATAAATGTGTTCACCTCGAGTCATGCCTTTCTCTGTTTCAGTTGCTGTAAAAGTAACAGAGATCAGATGAGAGACATGGATTTATGACATAAATAATAATCTGAAATCATCGTTTCAGACTAGCGTACATGAAACTGAAGCAGAATGAGGGGTGGTGATGGTTCCATTAAAGAAGCTGACGGTGCAGGTGAAACGATTCCCAGGTCTGAACCAGTCCTTAGCCTGGACCTTCAGCCTGCTGGTGATTCTGTAGGAGTCCCCGTCCCTCTTGGCTGTGCTGTCTGTCGCCACACCTTTACCTGTCTGGACCCCATTAAGCATCCAGGACACGCTGACATGATCTGGGTAGAAACCAGAGGCCACACAAACCAGAGTCTTCTTCCTTTTCTTGTTTGGGTCGTTGCACTCTTTAGCTGAAGGTTTAAAGACTTCTACAGTTGGTGTTGTGGGGGATCGGCCTGGTTCTGGAAGAGGAGAGAGAAGAAGTTTCACCACGCTCATTAAACATTTGTGTGTGCGACACGATGAGTTTTCTAGTGACTCCACCGGGTTTGGGTTAGAGAAAATAATGTTTTCTCTTCTTTGGGTTTTGAAAACCTGAAGCTGAGAAACAAAAGATGTTGGTCTGAATGTTTTTCTACTAAAATAACGAGTTTCTTTCTGAGCAAAAATCAAAGATTCAAATAAATAAATGTAATCAGCTTCAGGTTTAAAGAAGATAATAATTAAAAAGGTGTTTTATCTCATTTTCTTACCTAAAACAGTCAGTTTGGTGCCTCTGCCAAAGTAAGCGGGTTCATAGTTGTTCACACTGAGAATCGGCTACATAAAAATCAGCTTTCAGCTCTGCAGACCGTCTTTCTGCTCTTTTACACCTCAGCTAAAAACTTCTGCTTTTAAAACGGCACAAAGCAGGAAAATCAACCAAATCAAACTGATTTAAGTCTTTATTTTCATTCTCATTAAACCTGCGTTTTCATCTTGTTTGAACCCAAACGTCAGAAAGGTTCTTACCTAAAACGGTGAGTTTAGTTCCAGCTCCAAAGTAAGCAGGATCATAGTTCACACTGAGAAACGGCTGCAGCACAAACAGCTCAGACTTTCAGCTCCGATCAGTTTGTCTCGCTGATGTTTGACAAACTGAACAAACGACAAATATTCGACCATATCCATGTTTTCTGGTTCTGATTAATAAAAGTCTTTTCTTGTTTCGGTCCAATAATTCTTGCATCTACTGAAAATGTTGAACTTTCTTACCTAAAACGGTGAGTTTAGTTCCAGCTCCAAAGTAAGCTTCTGACTGTAATTCAGTGTTTCACAGAGCTGATAAGAACCGACACAGAGGAATAATCTGGGCGTAGAGCCAGACCTTCTGCACAGAAACAACTTTCACCAACACCTCGTCTTTATAGGCACAAATAAAAGCTGCAAGGATCTTTTTTACTCTGACTTGCCTGACTTTGTCCACAGACGTGTAATATTCTACATGTTAGTGTTGATCCAGACACTCGTCAGACCTGAGAGTGAATCTGATCTGAGTTGGTTGGAAGCTTTCTTACCTAAAACGGTGAGTTTAGTTCCAGCCCCAAAGTAAGCCTCGTTGTAGGAGCACAGAGACTCCAGACTGGAACAAAACTCTTCCTGCTGCCTCTGTCTCTCTGTCTGTCACACTCTGAACACACTACAGCTTCATCACTAAGTGTAGAAAGTTCTGGAAACACCTTCTGAATGAGGAGATCTAAACCCATCTGAGTCGTTTCTCTACAACATTTAAAGGTTTTCTTGCCTAAAACCGTTCATTTGTTTCCGTTACCAAAGTACGCTTCAGCAGTCACAACGAACCTGATCTGATCAAAACAACCACCAGCTGGTTCTTCTTTACGTTTCTACTCTCCATGTGTTTCCTTCATGAGATGAAACGACTCGAGCCTCACTGACCAGAACAGAGTTTGGTTCTTGGACCAAACTGAGCCTGGTTCTGACCCGAGTTTAAACTTTCTGAGCCGAGACTCAGAACAGCTGAGATCAGTGAGTTTGTTGCAGATCAGCTTCATGACATTTTAAAGCTGTACTCACCCAGAACCGTCAGTTTGGTTCCCTGGCCGAAATAAGCGTCATAATTGGCACAGCGCTTCATCTTAATATCAAAAAGCAGCGAGCTGGACTCCAGTAATAAATACTCACAGATGTAATGATTCTTTATCAACCCTTTCAGCTAAAGCTCGGACTTGACTTTATTTAATAGAATCATCTTTCACTCACCTAAAACAGTCACTTTGGTTCCTTCTCCAAAGTAAGCTCCGTTAGCATTGTCACGGTGCACAGACACTGAGCACGAAGCTCTTTTTCTTTCATTTAGACCGTTAACTAATCTCTACCGATGCTTCTGTCAGGACTGGAGATTAAACCAAAGTTTCCTCCATCAAAACACACAAGTGAAGTGAAATATTTACCTAAAACTGTCAGTTTGGTTCCTCGGCCAAAGTAAGCAGGTTCGCTGTAGGTCACAGTGTTGTGAGATCAGCTCAATATGTCAGATTTATAAACAGGTCAGAGCATTCCTTCACTTTTATTCTAACCTTTCCTCCAGCTTGAGTTTCACTCAGTAAACTGAACATGTGAGAAGTTCAACTTACCCAGAACTGTCAGTTTGGTTCCTTTTCCAAAGTAAGCTTCAGCTCCAGTGTCACACCGAGAGTCTCCTCCACCAAAAAGCCACAAAACCTTCTAGAATCATCACCTTCTGACAGCTTTTCATGATCCAGATGATGAGGAAGGTTTCAACCTCCAGCCTGAGCCTCATCTTCTCTAACTGTTTAGTTTTACACCAGATAAATAACACATCCTCCAAACGCTCCACACATGAACTCAGAGATCTTTAACTAAAACCTGTTTCTGCTTCAGTTCCTGCATTAATGATGATTCTTCAGAGCCAGAGAGTCCCAGCGTGCTGCACGCCTTCAGATGACAGATGTTTCTGCTCTGACAGGTGTCCTGAGCTGCTGCAGCCCTCTACACCATGGGTGTTAATGGGAGGAGGTTTTTGTACGACGGCTCTATGGGATTGTATCACCGTGGCCCCCTGTCCCCACGGTGGAAATGCATCAGACAAAAACCTGCTGTCTCCTTCTTCCTCCCCCCTCTCCCTCACCCACCCAGCTCCGCCATATCTCAGCCTCCATCTTTGTGTGTTTGAGTGAGAGCAGCTGTGACTGGCGGATGAACGGGGATCAGCCTGATTGCTGCTATTTCTGTGGCAGCTAAGAAAAGCAGACAGAAGTGAGGGAAGGAAGGAAGCTGCTTTTGTTTTTATCTGCTCACAGGAAGTGACACGTCTGCTGGTCACAACTCTTCATCCAATCAGTCGTCAGAAAACAACATCTTCTCACACCTGTGACGTGTTGTAGGTGTTCCTTTTAATCTGACTATCATCTGATCTGAAATCAGGAGGATTTAAACTTTTGAATAATTGATAAAAATAATCAGTATAAATGTCGTGGTGAAGAAAGAGCTGAGTCAGAAGGCGAAGCTCTCGATTTTCCGGTCGATCTACGTTCCTACCCTCACCTATGGTCATGAGGGTAGTGACCGAAAGAACGAGATCGCGGATACAAGCGGCCGAAATGAGTTTTCTCCGCAGGGTGGCTGGGCTCTCGCTTAGAGATAGGGTGAGAAGCTTGGTCATTTGGGAGGGGCTCAGAGTAGACCTGCTGCTCCTCCACATCGAGAGGAGCCAGTTGAGGTGGCTCAGGCATCTGGTCAGGATGCCTCCCGGACGCCTCCCTGGTGAGGTTTTCCGGGCACGTCCAACCGGGAGGAGACCTAAAGGTAGACCCAGGACATGGTGGAGGGACTATGCCTCTCACCTGGCCAGGGAACGCCTTGGGATTCCCCCGGAGGAGCTGGTCCAAGTGGCTGGGGAGAGGGAAGTCTGGGCCTCTCGCCTTAGGCTACTGCCCCCGCGACCCGACTCCGGATAAGCGGATGAAAATGGATGGATGGATGGATGGATGGATAATAACTCATCCTGCAGATTCAGTTCAACTCAATTCAAGTTTATTTATATAGCGCCAAATCATGACAAGAGTCGTCTCAAGGCACTTCACATAGTAAACATTCCGATACAGGTCAATTCATTAAGCCAATCAGAAAAAAGTTTCCTATAAAAGGAACCCAGCAAATTGCATCAAGTCACCGACTAGTGTCAGTGACTATACAGCAATCCTCATACTAAGCAAGCATTTAGCGACAGTGGAGAGGAAAACTCCCTTTTAACAAGAAGAAACCTCCAGAGGATCCTGGCTCAAAATAAGCATCCATCTGCCATGACTCACTGGGGATCAAGAAGACAGAGCAGACGCACACACACACACACACACACACACACACACACACACACACACACACACACACACACACACACACACACACACACACACACACACACACACAACATATATACTAAGTAGTGTTTCTATGGCCATGTTATGATTTCTTAGTAAATATTCTGTTTGGTGAAAGACAAACTTTATTGTATTTATCCTAGTGAATCTATAATTAAATGGGTAAACTAGCAGTAGCACATTCAATGTCAAGAAAGTAAAGTGTTATCATCAGGAGAGGGAGAATGATTAAGTGGTTAGCAGCAGTGTTCAAGACGATGGCCCCTTCCATGAGGCCACCACAGCTCAGCAGAACATCATTGTAGCTTCTTCTGGGGAGAAAACCACTTAGAGAAACAATAAAGTTAACAGCTGAAATAACAGGAAATATAACAGTTAAAAAGCTAATTGTAGAAGAAAGTAGTCGAGTGTGGAAAGTGGTCAGTGTGTCCTCCAGCAGTCTAAGCCTATAGCAGCATAACTACAGAGATAACTCTGGATAACCTAGCCTTTTAGATGGAGGCATGTTGGAGGCAGGGCAAGGGAGAGTCGTTTTTACCGACTGTACACTCCCCCTCCCTCTACTCCCCCACTTGACCAGATCTAGGCTAACATCCGATTTTAACCATAGACCCTATCAAATAAAATGTTTTAAGCCTAGTCTTGAAAGTAGACAAGGTATCTGCCTCACGTACTAAAGCTGGGAGTTGGTTCCACAAGAGGGGAGCCTGATAACTAAAAGATCTGATTCACATTCTGTTTTTAGAAATTCTGGGAACTACCAGTAAACCTGCAGTCTGAGAGTGAAGTGCTTGGTTAGGATCCATTGACTCTTCTTTATTTTTAGTTGTGTTTGTTTATAAAATGCATTTAATTTAACATGTAGATTTGTTGTTGTTCATTATTAAACTAAAGGCAACTTAAAACAAACAATATTACTTACACAGGAATTAGCTCCGTCATGATGCTTCAGAAGAGTTTACCATAATACCACTATACTCTAAAGCTTACATCAGATTGAAATTATTTGCATCTTTAAATGTTTTAAGTCATTTGTTGCACATCAGGAAAGTAAAACCTATCAGTATTGACAGAAGCCTGAATGACTGGAGGTGATTTTAAAGAGCAGATGTCTTTGTTTTGTTCTCATTTTCAGATTTCTGATGTTTTACTAAACGTTTTACTGTTTCCGTCTTTGAGTTGCTTTATCCCATATTTTACCCACATTTCTATGAAAATATTCCTAAAACATTTTGAGCATTTATAAATTAATATTGATTTTATATCAATTATTTTGTTTCTGTTAACAACAGCAATACAAGCCTTTATTCAATTATTATTATTATTAATAACTAAATGTGATTGCATCTAGGTGTAATCCCACATGAATCCTGTAGAGGTCAGTGTTGGACGCCTCCTGGAGAAAAAGAAAGGACACACAGAATAAAATTCCATATAAAGGGGAAGACTTGAGCTGTTCCTGGTTCAGATGTGACATCATAACTAAACAAAACTTCTATATGGGATGTAGAAACCTCACCATGCTGACACCTGCTCCTTAATCTGAGCCCATCAGGTTTGTGGTGCTTCATCAAACCCCACAGAGACTCTTGTCTTCTTATATTGGTGTCTTTTAAATCTATTGAAGTATATTTTATAATAATGATGTCATTTGTTTTTTCTTGTGTATCAGATTCCTGATCTGAGCCTATTGGGTTTCACAGTTTATGCCATCCTATTTATTTATCCTCTTTCCTGTTTTCTTGAGGTTGTGTTGCTGCAGAGGCTCTTTGTTTATGTATTTAGCAGACGCTTTTGTCCAAAGCAACTTACAAGTGAAGAAACCAGCAATGTGGTCTCTAAAGGTCAGCTGTCAATCACAACACCCAAATGTTATGAAGGAGCCAGAGATAGGGCATCATTTTGGATTGAGATATTGTGCTGTATGGATGGTTTGTCACGCTGTAAGTGGGGTGGTGGTGGTGGTGGGGGGGGGGGGGGGGGGTTTAGGACCCAAGATGCAGAACCAGGGAGACATGAGGCAGGAGTTGGAAAAAACGTAAAATCCTTTATTAGGAGCTTCGTCTTCGTCTTCGTCTTCCTCCGCTTATCCGGGTCCGGGTCGCGGGGGCAGCATCCCAACTAGGGAGCTCCAGGCCGTCCTCTCCCCGGCCTTGTCCACCAGCTCCTCCGGCAGGACCCCAAGGCGTTCCCGGACCAGATTGGAGATGTAACCTCTCCAACGTGTCCTGGGTCGACCCGGGGGCCTTCTGCCGGCAGGACATGCCCGAAACACCTCCCCAGGGAGGCGTCCAGGAGGCATCCTGACCAGATGCCCAAACCACCTCAACTGGCTCCTTTCGATCCGGAGGAGCAGCGGTTCTACTCCGAGTCCCTCCCGAATGTCCGAGCTCCTCACCCTATCTCTAAGGCTGAGCCC